TGGATTTTGGAAAGAAACACACGAATGTAAAATGAGGGAAATGACTTCTTGTAAAAACACAGTAAAATGGTTACTTTACTCTCCTGCTTTCATGACAGGCCACTCAGTATGGTAAGAATCACGAAGAACTTATCATAAAAATACTATGAACATGAAACAAGAGTACTAGTTCAATGATATGATTTATTTGTTAATCTCAGCTTTGGGTTTCTTGGTGCATCATCAGATGGACTAGTAGAAAATACTGGAAGTGAAATGTCCCAATAAATCAAAGTCTGGAGGAGATGAACATTATGGTGTCCACCACTTGCAACCAGATTTGAATGATAAAGAGTTCAAAAGAGCTAGTCAGGAATTTTTGATAAAACTACAAGTACTAAAGAAAGGTGAAATGAGCTAGAACAACAAAACCTTACACTCCATTTGAAGCTGCTAAAAACTTGAAACAGCTTTGTTCTGTACTTACCACTTAGACACAGATATTCAACTCAAAAGACCTCAATATTTTTGACCAAATTCAAGGTCAGTTACACATAACACAATGCGAATTCTGTGACTTTGTCATATGGACACCTTACAGCATGCACATGGAAAGAATACTGCAAGATAATATTTTCTGAACACAAAAGACGTTTCTTTTTTAAGACTGTTAATTCCAGAATTACCTTCTTCCAGAACTGGTTGACCCCCGACTTTTACATAATATGGAGATACAAGACCCACAATACATCCAACAAGCTATTCAAAAGCAAAAAGTACCAACTGAAGACAAGGGGGAGAAAAATGAATAAAAATTTGCTTTTGTCATAAAGAATGTTTTTAGGACTTATGTAATTTACAGAAATAAAATAATTGTCTGTTAATAGATCTATACTCCTGTGTAGATGTAATCAATCCAACAAGATAACAGACATGGAACATCACATAAATTTATAAAATTAATGATTTTCTTTTCAGTGGAAATGTTGTCAGCATGCCAAATCTCTAAAACAAATGTCATATCAATGTAATAACTTGTAATTAGATGTTTTAGATAATGTGCAATTGTAGCAAATGGCTACAACATAAATGCAAATATAAGCTTCTAGTATTTTCATTATTGAGTAAATTTATGTGCTGCAATTTTCAGCGTGTCTTATATATACTACCATACAATTCTATTCGTTACTAGTTGAAGAATTATGTAATTATATTTGGTAGCAACATTAAGATGAGGCTGATGAGAATAATGCTACACTTCCTTTACATTTCTACTTACATTTCAATGTATAGTAAAACATATATGAGCTTTGTTTACAGCATTAGTCAGTAATGTATTATAAATTAATAGTGATATATAAGTCAAACATATCTTGTTAAATATGATATACTGATAAGCAAAGATTGAGAGCAATGTTTGTTAGAAGTAACGTCGATATAGTCAGTGAGTGTTTCAACAGGAAGACTAAAGACCAAAATGTTATATATAAGTCATTGGGTAAGTCAGAAACCACTGCACTTGCTTTGCAATAGTGTTCCTCCTAAGACGTTCTAGAATGTTGACATCACATAAATAGCTGGGGAGAGACAATACCAGGACCATAAGCATACCAGCTGCACTAACCTCGTGTACAATCTGTAATACCTTACAAATCTACTTGGAATCAAGATCAGTACACAACATATTATATAGCTTACATGTATTATTTTTATGGCAGTATTTTCAAAAACATCAAATGTGGAGAAGAAAACAGTGATCAAATGCTCAGTGATCTGTTCAGTTACAAAAATACAGAAAGAAACAATAATGTACTTTAATACCCTGAAAGGGGTCATTGGAAAGTAAATAATCTTTAAACTCTGGAAAGTTCCTCATTGATGAATAGTTAAAAAATTATGTTTGTATTTTTCCATTTCTCAGTAAAATGCATAAATATGAACAACATATTTCGTTGTATCCACCAACGTCTATAACATACACTGTAGTAAATATACATAATCAGTTTATGTATTACAGAATGTGCATAGAAAAAGTTGTTTCTCCTAGATGGCAAGCATGTCCTTACACTTTATGCTAACCAACCACATGTTCAATAATAGTCGGCTCTAATGGCCAGTTGTATGTAGCCTTTTTCACCGTAAGTGACCTTGAGCAACCTGTAGCTGGTAGACTTTACAATATCTTAGGGTTAGTGAGATGAGATTAACTCACTGAAATGGCTGAATTTCTTCAATATACTCTATAATATTGATGGTTAACTTGCGTTTCCACATATAATCCATATATTCAAAGTAAGTGATAAAGTCACGTTTATTTGAAAACACTGAAAACTTGGTTTGACTTTGATTATTCTTTGCATTATTAGAGCTGCATGAGTGTTATGTTGAGTAAATTGGCAGTAAAACTAAACCAGTTACAGAGCAGGTACAGTGTCCATACTAGTAAGTAGACAATGTAACTGTAACACGACTTTGTGATCTGTTGTACTAATACTACTAATATGGTATGGGACTATGGGGTATGTAATTTGCTTTACTAATACACCAGTGTAAGAAAACGAAACCAAAACTAAATGAAATTACACAGAGGGACTTTTCAGATGTAAGGAAAGAGGTCCTTATTTGTACAAAGTAAACTGTCACATATTCACTTGATTTATTTTGTGCAAAATTTCATGACAAGCTAGTATCAAAGATAATGCCATCTTTAGAAAGTGTCTAATATATGACATTGTTTAGGTATTATTGCACATGAAAATTTCAACATCAAACTGGTTTCTTTTGTAGAGGAAGTTTATCAAGCACTTTGAGTTGAAAATATTTTTCAGCTTTTCTTTCAAACAAAGAAGACAGTCATAATCTCAAAATTTCATGTATTTTTTCATGTTTTTAAAGAAAATGACCATCTTTTTGTTGGTTACTATTTCAGAAAATGAGATATTTCAGTGGCAGAAGCAAAAACAAGATGTATAATGACTGATCAAAGTTATAATTGCATTTGATGTTGGATAGCATCAATAGTTGAGCTAAAGATGCAAACAGAAGGCTATGATAAAGTAATTACTACTGGACGAAAAAGGTAATGAAAGGGTATATATGAATGTGATAGTCAAAGAATTTTCAAAATCATTCAGTAAAAACAAAAGAAGGCTAATCAGAGGGGCAAAAGGATGTACATATATGCATGTATTTGTATACATAATAATAACACAAGTGTGATCTTTATATGATGTTTATCATATAATAATTTTGATACTGATGGAAATATTAAATGTAATCTATAGTTCTATCTGATTTTCAGTGTTTATACTTTAAACTATAATTGTTTAAAATAGCCAGAATGTTTATGATGACTAATGAGAAAAAAAGAGAGAATTATTTCAATTTTTTGGATGAAAAGTAAATGGTTCTGTTTCATGTGGCAAGATAAATCCATATTCCTGTTGCACGTCCTCTTGTATACTACACAATTATAAACTAAGAGTCGCAAGCCATCAACAGTTGTCAACCACAACAGCCTGTTTGTTACCATTGGATATTTGGTTTATTGATTGAACAAATGGAATTTACAGACTCTTAGATGACCAAATCTGATTTGCACAATTATTAACGTCATATTACTAAGTTAAAGTGATTTTTGACTGACCAATTACGAAAGTGCTCTTGTGTGGTTTGACCTAGAACTGAATTTCATTGGTCACAATACACCAGATTTTCATTGGAAGACAGCTAATGGAAACTCCACCCACCTTTAGTTTCTAAACATATCCAATTACTAGCCAGAGGGGGGAATTTAAATGAATTACTGCTGCCCTCTTAAGTCAGAGATTATTACCAGAGCTGGGTGAATCATGCCCTTCATGAACTATCAAAAGACTTTATAAGCTTAAAAACATCTTTGTTGTTTTTCATACAAAATAAAAGTGTTAAATTGTTGTTGATAGTAGAATTTCATTAATTATGTCTAACATCTTCTGAAATGTTTTCAGCCATTTTTATTTGAGTTAATCGTTGCATAATTGGAAATTTTGCTACATAATCAATGCATGATTTCAAATTAGTTACAATTTTTTTTTGCTGCATAAATATCATGACCCTGAATACATGGGCCCAACTAGTAATAAATTTATAAAACAATTCAATAATTTAAGAGGTAAGGAATGGGATGAGTAGTGTTTAATAAGCTCAGACTGAACAATTGTTCACTTTTAGCTCTAATTTAAGGTGCGATATTGTTTTAAAACATCCAATTTACAACGTAAAATTGTCAAATAAAAAAAAGGAGATGAAGGGATTTGTATATGCTTTTGTAATGTAAAATGTTTTAAAATTCTTATACAACAACTATTCTAAAATTTAATAGTAATCATACTAAAAATCACTTCAAGACTTATTAAACACTCATTTCTCCTAGAATAGAACTTCAAAATTTCTATCTTATATGATTTCTACTTAGTAATTAAATTCAAGACTACTTTAATTGTTGCACAAGTTTCTTCTCCACCAAGAGTAATTCTAATCAGTTGCTTACACAAACATCCATTCTATTCTAGTCCCAAGTTATACAAATTATTAAAACAAATATAATACCAAAAGGAAAAATGAGATCCCAAGATTAAGACATAAGCCCTGATTCTTGCTTTACACAAGAAGGACTCAAATGAGGATGATCAGTTAGTCAGCTGACAAAAATATGTATACTAATTACCTGTAGCTCTCATGAACAGCTTATGGTGATATGTTTCGAGTCCTCTTGACCAAAAAAGTTCTGTCCATGAGCTATTGATCCATTTTGCCCTGGTGAAATAAATAAGTATGAAAATAATCTTTACTTTGTGTAGTATTATAGAAAGTAGGCCTTAAAAATATTAATAATTCTACATTAAATTTTTCATATGTTTTCACTAGTTCAGTAATTTTAATATTTTCTTAGCAAACAAAACATAGGAAATGAAGAGGTGTGTATTTGCTTTTTAATGTAAAATGTTTTAAAATATTTATACTACAACTAATACTCTGAAATCTAATACTGGTGATGCTAAGAATTACTTGAAGATCCATTAAACACTCAAATACATATACTTAAACAAATCCATAATACATTTTATTTCCCTACAGTGGTTCTACCGGTCATAGTTTCTGTAGTTACACCTAATAACAATGCAATAAACTATGGAAGGTTGAGACAGTTTTTATTAATCTAATTACACATGAATATAGGACAGCAATCTAATATGAATCTGCTGCTGTTACTATTTTAATTATACAAAATTATATGGTAATAATTAGTAAGATGAGACAGACTGATGTTATTCTAATTGAACAAAATTCTTAAGTAATTTTTAGTTAAATGAAATTGTCTGGTACTATTCTTTTTTTTTTATGTTGCTTTATTGGATTATTTATTGTTTGTCTTAGAGCAAAGCCATATTGTGGTGTCTGATGCATTCATCACAGGGAAGCAAACCCTGTATTTTAGCATTGTAATTTGTAAACTTACAGCTGTCCCACTAGGGAACATATATATTGTTTTGTAATGCACTTTAAGATAAGACTATTGTTTTTCCATTATGAATAATTTTATGGTAATTTATAGAAGGATGTAACTGACTTGTGTTATCATCATCTTAATTTTACTTAATTTTATGGTAAACTGTGGTATGATGATACTAACTGGTGCTGTTTTAATTATGCATAATTTATGGTAATCCACAGTAAAATGTGACTTTAATACTCATGTTATTATTATTGTAATTATACTTAACCTTACCGTAAACTGTTGTATGTTGGTATCGACTGGTGATATTTTAATTAAGTATATTTTTATGGTAATCCATAATAACATGTGACTTGTGATCTTAATATTTTAATTATACTTAATTCAATGGTAACCTCTGGTGAGATGATACTGACTGGTGTTAATATTTTAGTGAAAGATCACATAAGCTATAACTGACTGAAGTTATACAAAATATATATTACAATGGCAGGCTATGACAAACTAACATTATCACTCTGATTACCCACAAAAATATGCAAACTCAGAACTTACATTAATAAATTTGCTATAATGCATCACATATACTAAATGTATTTATGCTAGATAACTTATGAATAAATTAGATCAATCCCAATGTTTAACATCTTATTCAGTAGTATGCAAGACACTCAAAAGGAAAAGAAATATTTTGTGTTAAATTCTTCAGCAGGATTTGTTATAAACGTCAGTGCTGTGATGAACTAAAGATTAAGAAGTATCATAACTGTATAAGTTGAAGTGAAAACTATTAATATACAAGTCTTCTTTCTTCAAAAGGTGACACAAAATTGTCAAAGTTTTTTCATGCACGAATTTTTATTATTTTCAAAGTAAGTAAAATTTTGACAATAGTTGATAAAATGTGGCAAACTTTCAGATGGAGCAAGTTGAATTTACAAATGAAAGTCAAAATTTTAACATGATAGATATTAACCTAATGTCCATGCAGAAGTCAACTTGTGTATGTAACAAGATGCAAAGTACAATACTGATGAAAGAATAAAAAGTGCAAGCAAATAAAAAAAATAGTACAACACTGCCAAAACTTTTCTCTGAGATCAAAACAGAGAAAAAGGTTTGAGATTGTAAAAAATGAACAGATAACTTAGGTGCACTATACAAAATAGCTCTTGAGAAAGTACCATGACGAAAGAATAATAACATATCTGTTCAGTCTACATAAGTGGATCACAGATGTAAAAGTTCTGATGAAGAGAATCTAAAGAGGACAAAAAAAATAAGACTGACAGCCAAAATAAAGGAGAAAAATTGCAAGATAGAATTGTTCTGGAAAATAAGACCTAAATAGTTCAATAAGAGAAAAGAAAGAAACCACAAAGTAAGCAAAAAGCACCAACATCTACCAGTGGGTGCAGAATGAGAATAGGAACATAAAAACACCTGACCGTCAGCTTAGTCCTATGTACATGGTACAGATGCATTGCACCAACCTGTTTCTGTAAAGCTATACATAACATTTACAATAGTTCCAAATTTATTAACTATATCTTCACAAAATTTGGTAAGCTTTTATTAAACAATACAAGAAGAATTTTTAATAAAACATCTACTCAAGATTTGTCTGTGAATTTGCTGAGTTAGTCAACCTTTGATTAGTGTGAGTACAAGGTTATTTTTTGTTAAGAATAAAAATACTTTATTTTAAAGTTTCATGCTTCATTTACATAACTTCTAGAACCTCCTAAATGAATATATTCAAAAAAGATAAAAAGATTAACTGGCAATGTCATTATGTAAGACATACTTTTTGAGTTTTTATACTAAAAATGTTTAAACTATAAATCTGCCAAACGATATTCTCTTCAACAAGTTTGAAATAACTTAAAAGGTAAAATAAGTCAGTGATTCCTAAAATGATGCTAACACATTTTCTGTTTACTACAACACCTTATTAAAATTTCTGACATACTGTCTTAGAAATAGCGTTAAGTGTTAATTGAGCAACTGAGAGTTCCAGTAAGGGTAAAATTCCAGATGAGCAAAGAAACTAAAACTTAGATTTTGGGAGAATGTGTATATTGTGGAAGAAAACCACATATGAGTAGGAAAACAACATAAATAAATAGTAAGCAAACCAAATCTCTGTACAATAACTAGGTAACCAAGGTTTAGATTCTAAAAACCCACACAGGTAGAGAATAACCAAATGGACTGATTACATGTCCCCAGAAGTGTAAGCTCCAGAAAAGTTAAGTAAGTACTTCTAAGCAACAGGAGAGTGCACTACAGAACTTAGAAACATGTTTATGGATGGGTGAAGGACAAAATTAAACAGATTTTTAGGAAATGAATCCCACAAAAAAACTAGCTGTTATAACTAAAACTTCAAGGGAGATCATCAATGTTTAAAACCTAAAATGAAAGAATAATATCCACTCTGATGGATATGATAACTGCTGTATACAATATTCTGAAAATACAAACTGATCAAGCAGCCTACAGATACAGATGATGGCTAACTTTGATATTAAAAAAAAATCCGAATAAATACTAGGTTTTCTTAACTATTCACACTCACAGCAGAGTTGAGCAAATACCAATACGTTCTGAACTTAGTACTAGCATCCTGGTCTTCTGAATGATGAGCAAAAGTATCAAAGTAAACAAATTATAATAAATAACTGGTGTTAAAATAAATAAATAATACTGTTATTAATTTTTACCCTAATTGTAATTAGTAAATGACAAATACAAAATTGATAAAAATAACACTTAATCTAGTTTGCATCATAACATTTGTTGTTCATGCAGTTTGATACTATACATAGTATTTAAACAACTACTCTGTTGTATCCCAGCCAGCCTGATGAGCCCTGGAAATGTGCACAAGGCCTTGTTGACATCAGAATAGTATGGCTGACATACTGTTCTAATTTCACTTTTAAGTTTTTAAAATTACTAACAAATAGAAATAAGGCAGTAAGAAGGTCTTCAAGCTCCTCATAACAAAAATTCAATGAAATCCATGAATACTTTCAGAATGACTCTGGATAACATCAAGCTTGTGGTAAATGTGCTACAGAAGATTATGAACATAATTTAAAAGTTTCCCTCTGAACAGTTCTAAGAAAAGAACCTGGTCTATGAGGTTGTTTTATGAACGAATCCAAAAGATCTGACAATTCAAATTCTCTAGGGCTTTTTTTGATAAAAACAAATATAGCACATTTATGGAAATTCAATACAGGGACTTTAAAAAGTGGAAATGATGTACACAAAACAAAAAAAAAGATTTTTCCTAAAAAGTGCCACATAAACTTTGCACAGGAAGCAGACACCAAAGGTAGGTTGTTAACCTGCAACAAAACTAATTGTCAAGAATGGAAAACCATCCAACAAATGATGAGAAGTGATGTCTCTACACTGTAGAAAACACTAAGGTAAGAAGGGTTAAGGATCAATTTTTGGTTTCTTTACAGGCCAGTTAAACTTTATCTTGCAGAAACAGGATAAGCTATAGCAATAGGAGAGGTTAGGATGTATTCAAAAACTCTGCTTACAGATAACCATATGGTAAGCCAAAGTATATTGCAACTTGTTTTCATTAAAATTGTGCATAATTACATATATATATATACACACACACAATGATAGGTTGGGTTGACTTACAATGCCATTAGATAGATATACTTACAAACTGTACCAATAAGAAAAACATTTACTTACACATAACCACACAATAAGCTATGATAAGCTGTAAGTGGTGGATAGTCAAGTCCCCAATACAATAGGTCATTCTTAGTTGTATTTTTGTACCTGTAAAACAATTCAAAAATAAAACACAGTCACAGGCATACACTACCTTTACAAATGTTTCAGAAAAACATTTGAAATATGTCTCTAATATACTAGTACTACTCAAATTTTGCAAATATGTCAATTAAAGAATATTCATTTTGCAAAATACACATCTACATGCATTATTTATTTAAGTAGAACTTTAAAATATTCACAAATTACTATTATGTGCTACAGTTTGTTGAGGAGAGAATACAGTCAAATATTCACCTGGAAATAAAAAATTCAATTAGATTAAATATCTTTTAGACAGAAAAGTGAAGTATGAGAATGTGCATCTGTTCTAATATGAGCACAAACTTTACAGTACTACTACATTAAATTATACTTTTGTAGCTAATGGCTATAAAAAGTGATTTTTTATTCCCTTCTCTACATAACTATGTTGTAATTTTAATGACATGTCAATTTAAATTTTTTTTACCCAATATTTTTACTTTGTCCTAAACACGTCACTGAATTTTGTAAATCACTAATTCTTGCTACTTTTACCATAAAGTACACCTTACTGTAAGCCTAAATAATATCCCAAAAGCTAAACCACTTTCAAAGAGTAGCCCTTTGTTCAATAGCCATTCCTGATGAAGAACCCACACTTCAAAAGCATGAGAGATTTTGGGTTATTTTCTTAAGTTTTATAATGCGTTTGTAGTGATTCATCAATATAAATATTGTTGCAAAAACTGAATATGTTTGTATACTGTGAATGCAAACAGAATAACATTTCTACACATAAATAACCAACCGATCCAAAACAAATCCTCTCACACCATCTGAAAGCAAGAATTTGTTTTACACTAGTACCCTTATCTAACAAGCATCAAGAAAGAGGCATTATCATGTGGCACTTTTTTACTCTAAGCAAACAAGAAAACCCTGATAGATAAAAGTATCTAGTAATTGATTAAGAATTCAACAGTTTAAAGCTTAAGGTTAACATTTTCCTCTACTGAAAATGTATTTCTAATAACACTTACCTCTACTCACACTACAGCTTTATCTCAGTGAAAGTTTCTCTTCTCTGCCTCACTTGCTCCATCCTTTATACCCCACTATATTGCCCAAAGCAAGTTAAATCTTGTGATTCTCTCCACCTACACCAATGTGCCCCCTATCCCAGATCCATGTATAAACTCCCTGTTATTACTTCCTATTCACTTTTTGAGATGGTCCAATTAGCAGACCCCAAACCAGCCACATCGTGGGGAGGAAGGGCAGGAGAGTGTGAGAGGATGTAGGTATTATAGGAAATACATTTTTGGTAGAGGAAAATGTTAACTTCTAAAATACACTTACCTCTTCTCACACTATAGCTAGAATCACACACTGACAACGTGTAGGGGCCAGTGAGGGCAAGATCATACAGAATGCATCTGCATAGAAAAGAGGTGTGCAAAAATGAGATATAGTAATAGCACATTAGTGGGTTCTGCAATATTTCTGGAACAGGTATGCTCTTCACTCAGACAACATGAAATCTAATTTCTGGGCAGTAAATACCTACCGACCACAGAGGCAAAATTCTAACATTGTTAGAAGAACATATATTTCTCTAGCAGATGAGATTCCACATCTCATCACTGGAATTATGAGGCTGTGGACCCAAATCTAGATCCAGAGTGTAGTGGCTAGAGCATGAGAACCGCTGTTGATTTAATTTTGTTTAGTAATGTTGTATTATTGGAATGTTGCATGTCGAGCCACCAGAATTAAGAAGAGAAGGCAAGCAACACATAAGTGGACAAACCCTCGCCCTAACCTTGGGATTACAAACTGAAATCCTAACTCGCCAACCTGAGAGGCAAGGCAACACTTTCTGCTCCCAGAATTACGAGTATGATGTGGAATAAACAAAGTCCAACCAATGACCTGGGAAGTGATGTTCTGTGTGAGGAATTACGAGGAGTCGAGAACCCTCTTCTGTGATCATTCAAATGAAAAGAAGGGTCACGTTCAACTCAACTAGATAGCATAGAGTCATCTCTGAACTGGAATTATGAGGAGGCTCCTGCGTAGGCTAGTCCTGCTCCCACCATACATCTGGGAAAACCAGCCAGGGTTATTGGCAGAAAGGTGCCCAGCTTCACCCTCTTCTTCTCGAGTGGAATAAATAGTTGAAGCATAAACAGGAGGAACAGACCTCTGACCACCACTCCAGCAACTGGAAACTGGAAGTGATAAGGACTCACATGTTCCATTAAGAGAAATGGGGGGATACTTGCATTGGGGAGTCCCAAAGAATGATGCTCTGGAGACAGTGGAATAGGTGAACCACGTTCCCTATTATGAAAAGCAAACTGACCCAGGTTTATTCAAATTAAAAGTCAGCAGGGCTGAGCAAAATCCCCTTAAGCTTTACTCATAATAGTTCATGAATGGTGGTCCAGTAGTGTATTAGTCTTCATGTTATAACTGCTTTCCACCCAGAAAGCACACAAGGTGGTCTTATGGAACACCCTATCTCCACAGAGCTTGTTGGTACAAAACTGTATTTTATTTTTTAAATCAGTCGACTGATAGCTATTGAAGATTTGGAAGGAAGCATGTCTGACCAGGAAAAACCTGCCATCGAGCGGGATCCAAATGAAAATGTTGAAAAAAAAATGAAAAAAAAAGAGAAATAAACACAAAATATTACTGAGGTCACTTTGAAAAACTATTATTGCAAAATTTCATTTTCATTATTTTGTAAAATAAAGAAAGTAGACAACAAACTCCAGATCCAAAAAGACAGGTCTAATAAAAAAAAGGAATGGTATAAGTTGTAGGTATAACTAAAGCCATTCATCACTGAAGAAAAACCCGCAGAAAGCACATAAAAATGTCATTGTAACAATCCGCCATCGAGAAAAGTGAATAGGAAGTAATAACTGGGAGTTTATAAATGGATCTTGGATAAAGGGCACATAAACATAGGTGTTAAATCTTCAAATTAATACACAATCAATTCATTAAGTAAAAAACATGCAAAATCAAACACACAATTAACTATCTGCTAGTCCAATGTCTTGAAAAAAGTCAAAAGAATAAAATAAATTTAAAAATAGAGCCTTAAGTTAACAACTTTGAGAGAAACATATTATGACTTCTTTCTATTATTACCAATCCTCTACTGGTAAATTGACTGTAATTTCCATCCAGTGTCTCTGGGCCTCATAATCCCCAAACATTGGTGGTTTTCCAGCACCTAAACACAAGTGAACAAATTAATCTTATTAAGCTTTGATTAATGTAACAGAAAACAGATTAAGTCTGCTTCTTCAATAAAGTACATATTGTATTACTGTATTAGTTACAGTTTCAATTTGTCTTCAGACAATTCCAATAACTCTTACAATTACACACACACACAAACTGAAGTTCCTAGAGGTTTATTGTATTTCATTTCTTGCACCAAATCAGTTGTTCACTAAATTTATGATGAACCTCTTCATTGCTTATGACATCACAAATCACCGATTTCTATGTTACGTTGGCACAAAAAAATCATTAATAAACATTTCACTAATCTGATGTATATAACAAGCATACTTTTTCAATTAACATCTTGAAGTATAAACATCAACTTTCCACAATGCTTCTACAGTGAAAAAAGTTGTAAAACAAGTGTGCTACCAAATCCTACTCGCATAAATTTTCAATTATTTTTACTGTCACTTAACTAGTAAACAATTACAAAACAAAGAAAGAAATTCATTCCAAATTCTACAAGTATTGAGTTTATAATAAATAAGAAAGGAAACTACTTAAGAATACAATTAAAAATTTTCATAAGTTACAGCTTAAACTGTATGCAATAGTTTTCTAAAAACAAAATTAATAATTATTAGAATAACATGCATAATATTCAACCTGGATGAAATTTGATCCACATATAGAAATTAGTATACAATAAACACCTGAGAACATTTTGTTGAGATAACTTAAAAACATAAATATAATGGTTTCTATTCTAGAATGTAACAGCTTGTTTTCCAGTCATTAAAAACATTATAAGCTTTAAATTTAGGTGCACATTTGTTAACTTACCATAAAAAAATAGCAATACTAGATCATGAGGCTTAAATACAATTGTTTCAACCTTGCAAAGAAGCTAATCATTTTTAATTTTTCCCCATGTGGCTTCTAACAAAAGTTAAGTGCCAATTTGCAGATATATATTTAATTACAGCATTAGAGCTAGGCACTTAAGTTGATTACCTATTAGCATTGATTACACTGATTAGTGTCATGTAATAAATTAATTATAACTACCACAAAAGACCTGCAAAATATTTGCAGTCAAATTGGTATCTTTATTGCAACAGTACTTCTTTAAATACGATATTTCTAGAATAATACAAACAAATTATAATAATAAACACCAAAATGAGAAGTCCACTTGTATATAAGCTGTACTTTACAAAACCTTAACTAATGCCAGGCCTAAGTTCAATAAAGAGATAAATTAACTAACCTGTGTATGTTTTTTTACTTTAGTTAGGACTATACTTAATACTACCGATAAATAAACTTATAACATTCTATGATTTAACGTCAGACCTTTTTGAAAACTTTAAGCTTTCGATGTTGTACAAAATAATTAGGAAAGCCTATCTACATCCACCTTTTGTTGTTATTCCTTCATTCATGGAGCAGTTATAGCTTATAGTGACTTGTTCACTGAACTCCCTACTGAAGGCAGGCTGATTGTTGTCAAGTGCATAATGTGCCTGCACTGTTTTTCTTGGGTAAAATTCTTACTGCACATTCTTATAAGGCAAACTGACAAGTACAATTATAGTACGATGATTAAATCAATTAAAATCATGAAAATAATAAATTAATAAAAATTAGTATTCCTTGATATACTATTTTTGATATACTATATACTAAGTAATTGAACTATTGTTATTATATATTTTTACTTTTGATTAATTCAAGTTTATTCAGTTTAAAATATGTGTCATGACCCACAAAAATAATCAATTAATTGAAATTAATGTTTTTGATTATTATTTTTGACCATTCTAATTAACCAAGTTTCATGTAAGAATAATCAGTCTGATGTAATTGATTAATAAGTCTAACAATTAATCAATTATCAATTTCCACTAATTGCCCAACTCTAGACAAACTTAATTAGCTTTTCATACATGTATAAAGAATAGTAAATGAGATCCTTTTTAAAGCTTTCTTAAAACACATCTTTAAATTATTGTACTAATATCTGAAAGAGGATGAATCCTGTACACCTATAGACATTTATTGTTGGAATACAAGAATGCATATGATAATTTTTATTTTAATTAATTAGAAGATTACTTTGCAACTGAAATTTTTATATAAAAGCATAAAATGAGATTTAGCAAAAAAGCCTGTAGTCTGATAAGATCACCCTGAACCTACCAAAACATCAAAAATTCAAACAGTTGACATCTATTTTAAAAAGAGGATGTGAAAATATATTCTGTATTTATGATAATATTTATATGCAAGAAAAATGTCAATCACTTTTAATATAATAGTCACAACAAAACATACAATGAATATCTAATCTCAAAAACTTTTGATACCTATAAGTTCACTTTTTCTGGCACTGGGGGAGAACACCACTATATTTCTTTTGCAGCAACCTTTACCAGTACAAACTTTAAAAAAGAACACTATCTTGTACAGTAAGCCAATTTCTGACTTCGTTTAAGAAAAATCAACTATTCGTCATTATTTCAATCTGTTTTCCAATTCAAGTTATCATAATACAAGATTATCTGTAATCACTGAAAGCTGGAGTGCTTCTACTTTATACTATGCATCTGATAATTTAATATTCTCAGTGTAGCACTTTTGACAATCTTTGCATGCAATAAGAAAATTAAATAAACATTTAAATAAGTTCAAATAATTTCAAAGCTAGTTTCAATCATTTCTTTTTAATGTGTTTTTGAACTTCGTTTTTAAAGTCAAACTCAAATTTAGGTATTTATAGATATTTTTCATCAACTTCTGAAGTTCTAATTCAGTAACTATCATAAATTATAATTTAATACAAGAAACAAAAATGTATTTTTGTGTAATTTCGAAATTACGTAAGACTATGAGTAAGACATGGTTGCACTGTAGCAATACTGGTAGAGTCCTTTATTTTTTTTTATCTACTATTAATTACAATAAGATCGGTCTTCCTAATAGTATATTAGTAATACCAAAAATGATGTTATAAATATATTATGCTTTCATACCACGTCATAGACAAACCTGATATTAGGCCTAACTTCTCAAATATCTTTAGTTTTACGTAGCAGTAGTGTTTAATTTATTTTGGATTAAACTATGTGTTATATAACGATTGAAAAGTACTACCAAAACACACCAGAATAAGGATAGAGTGAAATGCACCATCGAAGAAACAGCGCTAGCAAAACTCCAAAATAAAGCGCATCGTCTACTGCACTTTCTACGAGCCCCATCTTAAATCGCGGCCATCTAATGTGGAAAAAAAAAGGCAAATAATTTTAATCAATATTTAACTGATGAATTAAATAAATATAATTAAAATCGATTTTATAGCCAATTTTTGTTCTTCATATATTTTTGTATAAATCAAAATAGTTGCTTGAGTTAGGCAGAGACGTAGCTTTAGCAAACACACTTTCATTTTAAGAACAACAAAAAAATATTTGCTTAAGCGTAAGCTTTCAAGGTAACATCACCAGTAACATAAATAAATAAAATGAAATATAATAACAAGAATCTTTATTTATGCCTTCGAAAAAGGGCTGTTATATTGCCTAAAAGCTTAGGCTTAATAAAGATTTTATTCTTTTATCATTACCATTTTCTTCGAGTAGTGTCGTTGAAGTGTAATTTTTAGAACCTTTTTCATATTCGTATCAGACGTTCCAAAATGTTTTTTTTTTTCAAATGTAACTTGTGACTATTTTTGAATTAAAAGGGACATAGATTAGTTCATGAAAAAGATATAGTGAGTTTATATTATATGCAATGGCTAAGCAAAGGTTCTCAGCACCCGGGGGCAAAGACACTTTTGGCGCCCCCACCTTTAAAATGTTTTGATTATTTGTTTTGTGACTCATTACCCACTTAATGACAATAACATAAAGAATTAATTACCGCCATACACAGGCCTAAAATAAAGTCACAATATAACATCTCACGATATCACAACTGTAAACCTGTAACTAATGAGTATAGCCTACTAGGTGTACTTACATAATTTGTAAACCATTTTGATATTTTTGTCATCCAGTATTGTTCAAAGTCATCTTTCAAGCATGCAGAATAAATTTCTGTTATATCCCTAGTTTTGAAACTTATGTTTTATATGAGAAGCCAGTCACTTGTGGTGTACATGGATTATAAAACAGATTGATAAAATACTACTTAAGTTTACAAATAACAAATTTTATTAGTTTACAAAACTGTACATATTGTTACGCCTCCGTTCGTTAGTTAATTTTCCGTAAAAATTCTTTCCGATGAAACTTTAGCGACTCAAGTCCTTTCTTAAATAAAACTGGTTTATTCTTTCTGAATATAACTTTGCAATACACTTAATTTCTATAGTCGCGCTATAACAAACGCTATAATTCACAACGAACGTCTCACGTACTCGACTCAACAATACTCTCTCTCTTGTCCGCAGTTCAATCACTCATTACATTATTGCCGTCACGTCTTGACCATCTTATATATAAAAGAATACCGAAGTCTAGTAACCTCCCGAGGGTTCACGAAGCTTCGAGAATATGACGCGTTACTAGCGTCACGTGACCTCCGCTGTCGTAACAATATTAACTGGTGTGTAAGATTGACAATATATGCAACAGGCAAGGCCCAGATCTAGATATAGTAAACATTACAGGCCTAATGTAGTGGTTTGTAATTGTATTGGCTGATTGTAAATCATGTCTTACACACAAATAACGTAACACTGTGCCGTATTTACTTAACGTACGACAGTTGCGCTATATCCTAGTGGAGGGCAGAATTATTAATTAATAGGCATTATAGACCAGAGGCAATTTTGCGCCCGGGGCGACTGCCCCTTTTGCTACGCCACTGATTATATGATTTTGGAATTTCGCGCAAACCTAATCGAGAACTATTTGCGCTAGCCATCCTTAATTTAGAAGAGTAAGACTAGAAAAAACCCTCCCCAGTGGCACAGCGGTATGTCTGCGGACTTACAACGCTAGAAACCGGGTTTCGATACCTGTCGTGCACAGAGCACAGATAGCCCATTGTGTAGCTTTTTGCTTAACTTCAAAACAAACAAACTAGAGAAAAAGCAGCTCGTCAACAACACCCACTGCCGACACTTGGGCTACTCTACTCTTTTATCAAAGAAAAGTAAGATTGACCTTATAATGTCCCTACGGCTGAAGAAGCGAGCATGTTCGGCAGCAAGATTCGAACTCGTCACCTGCAGATTGCGAGTCGAGTGTCCTAACCATCAGACCATTATAGGATGGGTTTAAATCTTGAAGGACTAAATGGTCCCTTGTTGTCCCTTTGTTATGTTACGTTATAAAAAAGAATAATCTTTAAGATTTTTAAAGTAAATTTAGTAAAAACTATCTATTTACAGTCAATTCAGAAAACTACTAAGTTTTCTAATATCTTCATATAATTATTTCAAAAAATCAATTAAAAACCAAGCATTGAAATGGGGCTTTTTTCGACCACAAAGTTTTATGTTTGCTTCTTTTTCTGTCACTAGTTTGTTACTGTAGGGGTATTAGGGAATTGGAGTAAACTCGAAAAAAACACATATAAAATACTGTTACGACAGCGGAAGTCACATGACGCTAGTAACACGTCATGAGCTTCTAGAAAATTTATGACCCTTCGTGAAGCCTCGAGTGTTTACTAGATATGCGGTATTCTTGTATATAAGACCGCCAAGAAGTGACGGAAACAATGGAATTGAATTGCGGACAGAGGTAGAGACGGACAATTGAGTCGAGCGCGTGAACTATAGCATTTGTTTAAGTTATAGCGTGACTGTGGAAATTAAGTGTATTGCAAAGTTGTACTGAAATAAACCAGTAGTTGTTGGTATTGATGGAAGCCTACCAACCTCAGTTGTGAAAGTCCCAACAGCTAGTGTAAAATGTCAAGCACACATAGTGTCTACACGACAGGAAAGCTGGATGGCCAAAGGTATTTTGTCATATATTCTGCATCTCAGCAAACCCTTGTGAGTATCAAGGTGCTGGATAACAAAGGAGTACCAGAAGTTGTACAGAAGATCTGTGGTGTGACAGGACATTATGCAAGGTTGAGGGGACCAGTGTGGGTAACTATTGAGCTCATGGGCATGAAGAACAGACAGAAAGTATACTTGGCTGACATTGAAGACCAATGCATATTAGAATTGGAGTATCTACTGCCGAGGAAATGTGTGGTTAACTTCGATGAAATAACGATTGGAAACAACAAAGGCCAAATTCCAGTAAGTGTTGCAGCATCTGTTGATTTGCTTGTCACAGCACTTAAATCAACTACAATACCCCCTATGTCAGAAAAGATAATTTGTGGAAGGATAAAGAACATCCCCAAGGAAGCCCAATGCTTGTGGAAGCAGTGGAAGACCCACGCAGGCCAGTGGATTTGAAGATTGGAAGGTCACTAGTGGCAGGTCGTCAAGTAGTACCTATAACAGTGGCCAATTTCTCTAAATGTGAGCAGACACTTAAGGAAGGGGCATTATTGGGTGTGTGCTAGGAGGTAGAGCCAGTCAATGTTAAAGCAAGAAATACAACTATAAAGAACATTTAACTGACGTCTATAAGAAGAGCACAGTCCATTTGGCATCATCACAGGCTCTTCAGGTAAAAGAACT